TCTTTTTTAAAAAACGGCCCTAATATAAATTTTAATTTTATTTTTGATGATCAGGGATCCTAACATTATAAAATTAAAAGAAACTTTAAAATTGATGAAAATATTTTTTTTTTTTAAATTAAGGACAAATTTGAGCATAGAGACTATACATTTTCCAAGTCTCGCTAATAGCTCTACAAAAAATTGCAATGCATAAAAAACAAAATAATTTTTTTTCTAGATCAATAATATGGTAAATATCAAATATACAATGAATAAATTTACAATGAACTAAAAATTACTGTTCAGTGTTGATTTTTGAAGAAAAAAATTCTAAACATTCTTACTCGAACCTTGATAAAAGTAATGAATTCCCACTTAGTCCTTAATTTTTAGTTTAAAACATAGCCAACATAATACAAAATCTACATACAAAGTTTTGAAGAATTCTGTTATTAAATTTTTTTGCAGTGTGAGTTAGCGTTGAGAGATTTTCTGAAAATCAATTCTTTTCAAAAAGTATGGTAGTTGCCGAAAATTACTAGAACAATTTATTTTATTTGAATAAAATGTTTTAAAATCGTAACTCTCATTCTTGTACACTTAATCAAAGATTTCTTACTTTTATTGCTCATATTTTTTTTCTGTTGGCATTTTTAATTATGTATCCAGTGTTTCCAGTCTCACAAAATTGTCGATTTTCACCCAGACGGATACTTTAAAATTTGGTTAAATTTAGAACTGATTTAAGTTTAAATGGATTTCAGTATACTTTACTCTTTTTTTTTATTTTCTGCTAAAATTGATTATTATTTTTTTTTTTTTTTTTGGCTAGCTCTTATAAAACTATAAGTTAAAAATTAAAGTTACGTTTTGGGAAAAAGAAAATAAAAACTGTCATTTTTAACACTTGGCTTTCTTCGCGGTTTCTTTTTAACGGCACTTCAAAAGAGACGTCGCAACAGCGCGTCGCACGAATGTTTAAAATAATACTAGTTGAAACAATTTTTGTCGTTTTGAAACTTCGCACTTAACATTGCAAAAGTGTATAAATGTTGAAGGATATAAATGGCTTTTTTTTCCCTCAGTACCGTAAGACTTTAATTATCCGAAGTAATTGAGATGCTTCAGATAATCAAAATTTTCAGATTATAGAGGCAAAATCGTTTTTTAATCTGCTTTTAAAAATAAACTCTAAAAATCAAGTTTTAAAAAAAAAGTAGCGCAATATACTAGTTAAAATAATATTGATATAATTATTTATTATGACATGAAACAAGAAAAATTTTAATTTCGGAGATTTCTGGCAATTTGAGAATTCACCACTCTGCTACTCATATGAAATGATTAATTCAATGTAGTCATGCTGCGCAGAGTGTTTTTTATTTTAAAGTCCTGATGTCAAAGTTATTATGATATCAATGTCATGATGTTGAAGTTGAATATCATCCGATTGAATAATAGCATTTATTGAAATTGAGTTAAGAAAAAAGCAGTGCAGAAAGTATCTATAAAAAACAAACACTTCGGAATCAGCTTTGGTTATGAATAGTAACATATATTATTGAAATTGAGTAAAGAAAAAAAGTATGCATATGTGCAAAAACAAACACTTAGGAATCAGCTTTGATTATGAATAGTAACATATATTATTGAAATTGAGTAAAGAAAAAAAGTATGCATATGTGTAAAAACAAACACTTCGGAATCAGCTTTGATTATGAATAATAACATATATTATTGAAATTGAGTAAAGAAAAAAAATATGCATATGTATAAAAAAGATACATTTCGGAATCAGTTTTGGTAACATATTATCGAAATTGAGTTAAAAAAGTATGCAATTGTGTAAAAAACAAACAATTCGGAATCAAGTTTGGATATGAATCTATATTTGACATCTATGTCAGAAATTGATGTAACATCCTATGTTTGAAAATAGCTTTTATTAAAAATATTCGGATGCAAGAAGTTCAACTGTATTTTTTCTTTTTTTTTTTTTGTTCGTTTTTATGCGATATTTTATCATAAATTTTTTATCAAATTCGAAGCCTTATTAGCTATATTATAAGCATCCTTGAGTTCATGGTGATATTGAAAAAAAGAAACTAATATTATTGAAATTGTACGAAATAAGCTAAAAGTGTTTAAAAATTAAAATTTTGAAGCAGATGTATGCACTACTGATAGAAATAAACATGCTTTTTAAATATTCATTTACAGAAAAAAAATCGTTTGGGGTGTGCCAATCATTTTTTCTTAATTATAAAAATATTTTAAAATTAAATTTTATTTTTAGATTATAAAGTTATGAAACTTAATAACTTCAGATGCGCTTTGCGAAAGAAAAATCACGGTTAATTTTAAAACTTCCTCTTTTAAGCATTTTCTATGTCCCATATCCTGTTTCGGCTTGTCATTTCCGTTTTACTTCTAAACCTTATTAATCTATCTTATCTTCTGTTTTTAACTGAGGAATAGAAGACTATTGATTTAAAATATCAAAATATAATTTTGGGGCCAATTAAATAAACTCAAATTAGGATAGATAAATTTTACGTCGCTTATATTTAATTCTCTATTCATCAGGGCTTGATTATAGAATTGGTTCTGGACTGCAGAATTTTAGTTTTAGGAGATAAATTTACAGGAGAAAATTTGAACTTAAAATTTTACCTTTAAGTACAGTAAAAGTCCATTAAAACGACAATCCACAATAATAGATGGAATTGTCACTAGATGCTTGTTGCTATAAGCAACTATACATGTTTAATGTTAAGATAGCAAGAATAAAAAGACGAGTGTAAGTGTAAACAAAAGTTTTTAACGTCAATTATTTCAATCAATGTTTATTGGAATAATTAGCTGCTAAGAAGAGAAATAGGCACCATTGTAAGGCTAATCCATTTAACACTGTTTTTCGAAGCTCTGTCGCCGAGGAAAATAAAAAAAAAACATAGTTTAAGCGCCTTACACTTGAAGCAATGCAATGATTTTAAACTATACATATAATCTTGCCTTGAAGAATTATCTGGGCTTTAAAACGGACAAATAACTTAACTATTTTAAAAGTTATTAAACTTTTTTAGAACTCTCCAATTTGGAGACATTTTCCCACCTGGATGAAAATTATCAAAATTACTGCCTTATTCTCAGTTTTTGCAAATTCTTATGAGCCCAGGTTATGCAGTATTGTAGTAAGTTTTTAAATATTAAAAAATTAGACCACAAACGCTTTTCATTTTCACAAAACTGCGGCTTTTCTCCACATTGACTTATGCGCCATTTTTAAAATAAGCGTAGACAGCGCTGTCTTTAGATGGGCTAAACTTGATCTAACAGTTGCAAACTCATAGCAGTTATAAAAATAGCTTATTATTCGCAAAAAAAGAGCATATTACAACGGTGCCTTCGAAAAACAGTATTAAAATGTGTGGTACGTAGGATTCCCGAAAATAGCAAAAGAATTTTTTGTTTCGTAAAGTGAAAGATAACTTGGTCGACATAGGATTTTATGGTTAATTTACAACTGAAACTAGAAATGTTTTTTTTTCATTCCCCTTTTCTTTTTTAGTTAATTTGATACTTCATACTGAGGGGGGGGGATAACTGTTTCATTGGGGCTAATAAGTGAGCAAACTTTTACATAGAACAAAAAATGCATTTAAAAAATACAGAGATTTGAGACATTACTTAATAAAATAAATAATAATTTCAGCTAGTAGTTTTTCTTTCTGTAGTAACCTTCACTTTCCGCCATTATAATTTTACTTTTCCTAATAATTTAGAAGCACTAACTAACGATTAATTGTCCTAATAATTAAATTTTCATAACAATTTCGAACTAATAATTTGTGATTATTTGTCAAAGTAATTAAATTTCACATTCATTAGTATAAAAACAAGTAGTGGTTACCTCATAAGTGTGCAAAAACTATTCCAGCCTTAGATAATTCTTGCTCACTTAATATAGTGACCTAAACAAACGCAGCTTTTTTAGGTTAGAATTATTATCCCATATATTTTACGATATAATTAGTTGCAGGTTGAAATTTTTTATGTCCCGCATAGGTATCTTACAATTGATATATAGAGACATGATAATTAATAAGTAACATAGCATAAGTAATGACATAAATTTTTTAATCAAAATTATTTGAGGCTTTCGCAAGGCAATTGTGCGTATTCGCAAGATTACGCAAATATAAATCGCGTTTAGCATACACGATAATTTATAATTTTTTAATTTTAGTTTCTTATATCACTTGATCTATAAGGGTCAAGAAATAGTCTAAAATAGCTGGCGAACGGTATACTATTACAGGCATTATATAACGCCGTTAAAGAATGTATTGTATAGGGTACATATTATATAGAACATAATACTTCAGGTAATATCAGAAAGATTTAAGCATTCGCTTACGATATTAGTACCTCTGGCTACTGGCTGGCATAAAACACCTATGTTGTTTTTAAAAAGTATCTGATAAAGAATTTGAGAAACATCATTTGAAATGAGAGTTGATCAATCGACGTTTTGAAAAGTGTATAATGGGGATTTATTTTGTACTATAAAATATACTTCAAAGTGGAAACGTAGCACCTCCTTATCTGTCATAAACAAAATATATTTACTCATTAAATTGACTGATAAATAGCCTCAACAAATATCACGAAGATTTGGTAATCTTATGTAGTTTTTCATCAGTACTGGAAGCTCCTGAGTACTACATAAATAATCAGTACTAACAAAACTATATAAATAAATAAATATTATGAATAAAAATGTAGGTAAGCATTTTTTTTTCTTTTTGGCTACTCATGATTTTTTTTTCTTTCTTATAATTAGTTTCAAAAGTTTAGATAAGTTTGGCGACAGTACATATCGTCGTTAATTTGTTGCATCAACATCAGCATAAAAAATAAGAAGTTCAATTCTGCAATCGAAATCATTTCAGTGTACTTAATTCACTTCAACTGTAATCAAAATTTTAAAGAATGCTTTTAACTCATAATTGCGAATTAATTTTGAGTTTTGCAGCCTACATAAAAATTTTTCAAAATATTGTATGCATTTTGGCACGCTCAAAATTTAACCTGTAGTTTTAAACCTGTAAACCAATCGACCATAGTAAACCAATTGAAAATTTTACCAATTTTAAACTTGTAACTAAGTTGTGTTTTATGCCACAAGTGTTGAGCGAAAATGTCTATAAATATTAGTAAAACTATTATGATTATCAAATAACAATAGTTCAAATAACAGTTAATAAGACTTTAATAGTCTTACCATCAAATGAAACAGTTTCTTGAGTTTCGATGGTGTATTTATGGTATCAGATGCTAATTGTAAGTATAGTACTTTTTACAAAGATTATTATACAAAATATTACATGAGATCTTTATGCTTAAAGAAGAAACTGATGCTAATTTTTGTTATTATAAAATTTGAAATTGTAAATTAATTTGATCTAATTAGGATTCAAATGATTTTTTATTTCATTTAGTAAATACGTATCGACAAATTATCGAGTAAATAATTCCTACTTAAGTGAATTAATGATAAATTTAAAATTAAAATAACTTTGAGATAGTTTCAGTAACCTATTTATTACCTTGAAAATGAGATAAATTGAAATAGATCTGTAATAATTTTCCTTTTGTTACGCTATTTTTCAACTGAGATAATTTCAACTTAGTATAATTTTTTTTTAATTTTTTTTACAACTTTTATATTTTCTCGATAGATATTTAAACAAAAGAGAAAGAATTTATTTTCTCCTGAGTATTTTCACTTAAGGAAAATGTGAATTAAATTGTTTTCAAATTTAGCTAGAAATATTAGTTCTATACTATTTTAACTACATTTGGATTTTAGCTTTTAAAAGTTAAAAATTTCGTTAAAAAATTTGACCTTGGTTTTTGACATTTGGACCTTGATTGACAATTTCATTTACAAGGAGTATAACAGATAAACTATGCTAGGTAAACAAAGCAGAATTTTTTGCTTAAACACTTAGTAAAATAAGTGAATAAATAAAAATAAAATTTAAAAAAATCCATATAATTTTTCTCACTACTTCTGGGTCAATTAGACTAATGTATCTTTATAAGAAACAACATTTATTGATAAAATGTTTGGAGTTTAAATTATTTATGTACTTTTTTTCGCTTATACCATTTAATGGCATGTTCAAAATTCATGTCACAATGGTGGCATGAAAAAAGTGTCCTTCGCAAAACAAACTGGAAAGGTCAACGAATCGTTCCAAAGCTGCTTCTTAGATTTTATTCTATTTTGAGTTGCAAAATATCTTTCAAAACCAGCTGTAGCTACTGGTAGTGTTAGAAAAATAGCAATTAATTTCCTTAATTCAGAATGTATGTAAGAGATCATAGTCAGTCTCTCTACTCTCATTAACTAATTTTCTGTTTAACACTAGGAAAAAACTAACAATTTTTTCTAAAAATTTCACTAGACGTATTTGTATTTTAGGTAAACGTTTTGAGGAATATAACTCAAATGTGATGCGGAAAATTCGCGTCTAGGTGCGTATTTTCGCGTATTAGTGAACTCTAATTCCTATGAATGAAATTTTGAAAAGACAATCTTTAATTATTAGAATTTATGAATGATTTTTGTAATTAAAATATCTATTTTTTATTTTCAAATATAATATCAGCTTTATTTTAATTACATATGCTTCAACCTATTTTTTTATTTATTTAATTTTTTTTTTTTTATTTTTTTTTTTTTTTGCAAAATTTTTCTTTAACATATTTTTTTTAATATTTTGTATTAATTCAAGTCAAAATAAATAAAAAATAATGCATTTAACATTTTAATAATTTATGCTTACGAAATAGAGCATGAAACAGCTGTGTCTTTTTCTGGGTAAAAGGTAAAATCTTCCAAACACGGCTCACTTCAAATTTGCTGTTATTTAGGTTTTAGAGAAACATTATTGAAATTACCTTAATTTGCAAAATAAACTATTGATAAATATTTGAATCTAAATATTAAAAAAAAAATATTTTCCCCCCGTTTTTTTTTTTTTTTTATTTATTTTATATTTCATTACGAATATGATTCCGATAATCTAGAAGAAATTTTTTTAGTAACTATTATATTTAGATTTAGATATTTTTTTAGAACTATTAACTATTGACCTCTATGCATGAGCTTGAAACCGTGAAAGAAAAACAAATTTCAAAAAGATAAAACAGTAACATAAACTCCATAACAATAACAGTAAATGCATTAAAACAATAAAAAAGTGAACAACAGTAAATAAAAAAATAAGTAAAAAGTAATATAAGAAAGAAAATATATTTATAAATGCTTAAAAAGAAAGTCTAAACATAAGGTATGAATTCTTAAGTCTCAACTGCATGAATCGTTCCCATTTATTTGGTGTTTTGAAATATGCAACGCTGAATTTCTAAATGTAAATTTAACTCAGGTTTTTCTTTTTTTTTTTTTTTTTTAGNTTTTTTTTTTTTTTTTTGAAGTTTTTTTTTTTGCTTAAACATTATAAATAAATACAATAGTATAAGCACAAGTGTTTATTTTATACCAGCAAAACAGTTATTTAGATTATTCGATATTTTATCAAAGCTGTTAATAATGTAAAAGTATCCATCCGAAACCATATGCAGAATGAAAGATTGTGAAACATTTATTTTAATATATAATATTCACAAATAATTAAATTTTATCATAGAACAACGTAAGATGTAAAAATATATCCTCATATTATTATTGACAAGTGTAGTGAATAGTTTGCCGTTTCTACCACTAGGTTCTCATTTTAAGAAAGTCGTGCCAAAAGATTTTAAAACCTAAATTATGTATATTCTTCTATTAAATTACTTCTTGGTAATTATAATTTTGTCATGTTTCTAGAATACTCCCTGAAACTGAATTAAACATAAAAATATTTTGCTCAATTTTTTTTTTAAGGGGCCGTAAAATCTCCCACTTAAAGAAAAATTTAAATCTTTAAGAGTACCTACAGTGTAACACATTAAAATAGGTTTATACTTATAATCCAGAGGCAGAATAATTTTTTTTTTCATGTGTGAGTAACAGGCAACAAAACCCAACTAAATTGTGAGTCTTTTCTGTTTTATTTGTCGCTTGGTGCCCCTTTGACACTTCACTCGGTGTGGGTATATCACCCGCGATGTTCTAAATTTAGCTGGTGCTGACAACCGAACCTGTATTACTTCTAACAGATGTTGAATTACAGCACAACATTGTTGTTAGCGCTGAGTTACACATTTTCTTCTTATAATTTTGATTTGGCATATTAGTGGGGGTACGAGTTTGATTAGTGGGGGTACGAGTTTTTATGCGAAATATCTTGCAACAAACGAAAATTTCAAAAAATTTTATTTAAAAACATAGCCGTGAAAATTTATGATTACGTATTTTTCTATTGGCTATTTTTTGCAGAGTTAACAGTTAATTATTAGTGGTGTCAACAGCCAGTTATGAAATTTACTTTTTGTGCAATTTTTTATAGTAAAAAATGCATTTATTTTTTTATTAGTGGTACACAACGTTACGAAAAATTTAGAAAGCGTACACAAAAGTAATAAGTTTGGGAAACACTGTTATATGGTAATAATACTTCGCAAAAAAAAAAAAAAAAAAACATAATCCAGGTAATAAAATCAAACTATGCAGTGTTTAAATTATTCGTTTGGTAATTTTTTCCGTTCATATGGTAGCGGTTTAGTGGAGACTCTGGTTTTCATAAATATTGTTCTTGTTACCCCACTAAAAAAATTAATTTTACCAAGTACATTTAGTTGTTACCCCACTAAAAAAATAAATTTTACCAAGTAAATTTATTTTGCCATGTTCTAAGGTATCATGTTAAAATTACTAGATTCTACCAAACATAGTAAGAAATACCATATTTTTATATTAATTTTGATGCAATACCTAACGAATCAGGATACCGCCGCTCTCACGTGTCTTTGAAAACGTCTCGCCGTTTATTTGAGAAAACCTATGTGTTCTGTTATACCGTTTTCTAAGAATATAACAAATTAAAGGTAAAGAAATACTAATATTTAAAGAACATCACGAAATTAGACTAAAAGTGCATAGTTTTCTTTCACACTATTGTATAACTTTCTTGGAAAAAAAATCTCTTAACATTTGCCATAGTAATTGTTAGTTTCTCAAGTTGAAACATCTCGGAGCTTAGCATGTCAGGAATCGAAAATAGAGAGGTGAGATAAATTTTAAAAAATAAGTACTCCTAATGACACGTAATTGTCGTTATCATATTGTTATAACCAGAATTTCAACTAACATTAAATATTTGAAGTAATTTAGATAGTTCAAATTCAATCTAATCTATTAATGACCGAAATGCAAATATAATTATAACAAAGTAACAAGTTGACTATTTTTATGCTACTGGTTAAAAGACGTGACTATTATTTAAAATAGTTACTATTTAAATACTTTGTCTAGAGAGAAATTCTAGCACTTATTTCCTTAGTCATATCCTTTCTATGGAAACTTCTGCGAGTCGCACACATCCTATTGAACCTTTCCGGATATCCGGCGCGGGTTAGATTCAATTTATTCTAAACTTCCCTGGTTATTTTCAATTATCAGACAATGACTTGATATTTTGTTTATATGTTTTCTGGCATGCAATGTTTGAATAATTAAGGTCATACCTTTGTTAATGAGCATCGAATTATAAAAATGATATATCTAGTAGTCAAGTCAAACGAAACTGTTAGAAATTCAGTAGGTGGTTTTAAAATTCAGTTTAGGTGTTCTTTAAGAGCATCAACTTTTAAAAACAATTCATTTAATTTTCAAATCAAACAACACTGTTGGAAATTTAGTAAGGTTTTTTTTAAATTTAGGTTTGATGTTTTTTTTTTATGAGCATCAAATTTTAAAAGTGATTCTTTTATTTGTCAAATCAAACAACACTCTTAGAAATTTAGTCGATGGTTTTAAAATTTAGTTCAGATGTTCTGTATGAGCAATAAATTTTAAAAGAAATTCATTTAATTTTCAAATCAAACAACACTCTTAGAAATTTATTCGATGGTTTTAAAATTTTCTTCAGATGTTCTTCATGAGCAATAAATTTTAAAAGAAATTCATTTAATTTTCAAGTCAAACAACACTCTTAGAAATTTATTCGATGATTTTTAAATGTTCTTAATTAGCATCGAATTTCAGAAGTAATTTATCTATTTGCCAAATAAAATGACACTGTTAGAAATATAATCGATAGTTTTTAAATTTTGTTTCGATATTCTTTATGAAGATCAAATTTTCATAAGTAATTTGTCTGTTTATCAAATCAAACAATACTGTTAGAAATATAGTTAATGGTTTTTAAATATTTAGAAACTCTTTATGAATATCAAATGTTAAAAAGTGATTCTTTTATTTGTTAAATTAAACAACACTTTTAAAAATTTAGTCAATGATTTTTTAGTTTAAAAATTCGTTATGAGCATCAAATTTTGAAATTGCAGCATTTATTTGTCAAATTAAAGATCCACGTTGGAAATTTTGTTAACGATTTTCAAATTTGGTTTAGGCGATCTTCATTATTATATATTCTCCGAAGTAATTTAAACTTCTGTTTGTCAAATCACGCAACACCGTTAGAAATTTAGTCGGTAGTTTTTAGCTTTGGTTAGATGTTATTCATGAACATTAAATTTTAAAAGAAATTAATTTTTTTGACAAATTAAACACCACTATTAGAAATTTAGTGAATGGCGGTTAAGTTAAGATTCGATGTTCTTTAGAAGCGTCAAATTTTAAAAAGTAATTCATTTATTTGTTAAATTAAACAATAATTATAGGAATTTAGTCGATGGATTTAAAATTTAATTTAGATGTTTTTTATGTGCATATATTTTAAAAAGTAGTTCAAGGTTCAATTTATCAAATCAAACAACACAGTTAGAAATTCAACTAATGGTTTCTAAATTTTTTTATCCTTTATGAGGGTTAAATATTATGAATAATCAATAAATGTGTCAAATTAAGCAACACTATTAGAAATTTAGTCTATGAATTTTAAAATTAGTTAGTCCCTTATGAGCATGAAATTTTAAAAGTAATTCATTTATTAGTCAAATAAAATAACACTGTTATAAATTTTGAAGAGTCTTGAAATATAATAGTGTGCTCAGGTCAGGTTTTTATGAGGTCAGCTCAGGTTTTTTATGAATCAATCAGGTTTTTTAGGAATATGAATACAACTATTTTTGTGTTTTTCCATTAGGTACTAAGAAATATCAGACGTAGACGCCTAATTACAAAAATATATTAGTTGATGATTTGCCTAGAGGTCTACATGATCAATCATGAAACTGAAATAAACTTGTTTTAGATTTATTTATTTTTTTTTTCAAATTATGCTATCCATCCGCATTAAAAATGTTTTGTTTCCTTTCCATGAATTTCAAATAAATATTTCATATCTTACTCTTCATAAAGAAAATTATATTCACAATTCTTTTTTTTAAATTCTTTTTATTAAATTCTTTTTTTTAAATTATCTGCATTAAGAATGTTTTGTTTCCTACTTCATGAATTTCAAATAAATATTTCATATCTTACTGTTCATAAAGATAATTATATTCACAATTCAATAATCTATTCACAATTCAATATAATCTATTTTCAAATTCCTTCTAATTACAGAAAATCACGTTATAATGGCAATTTCAGGCTGAATTATAGTGAGCTTGTCGTTATAAACGAATGCAAATATAAAATGTTGAAACAACTATAAAAAAAAAAAAAGACCGAAGGATGAAATATACACATTTACCCTTTACCCTTTTATTTTTAGCAACTATTTTGATGTAGAATACGTGTATCTAGAGTAGATTGCTTTTTCTTACAGCTTGTAAATAGGACTGGGAGTTTTTAATGCAAGCAAAAAAAAAAAAATAATAATTAAATGCAATAGACTTTGGCGTTATTTGGCGGTAAAGAAGGCTATCTAGAAGAGATAGATTCGAACATTATTTGTACGTGGTTTAAAAAAGCCGTCTTCTACAAGTGTGCGACAGAATTCTTAAAAATAGCACAAGAAATTTTTTTTTTATGAGGAGGAATATAACTTAGTCAGTGGATGCCCACACATAACTTTATAAGCATAAAGGGTTAAACATATAGGTGAAATGATGCTATAAATGAATAAAAATTTCGTCTACTTTGCTATTTTTCTTATACCACTGCTAATTTGAACAGCAAAGAAATGTGTTTCCTTAAAATAGGCTGTAATAGCGGGAGGCTGGTAATTTTCAGTTCGTTATAAGCATACAATTTCTATATATCTTTAATATCAGCATTTTACCGGTGACTAGGGAACATGTTGTAATAGCGGTCGTATTATGCCGTTCTCGTTATATCGAGCTTTTACTGTATAAATGACAAATAAAGTAATAAATATTACAAATGGCCCTTGAAAAACTTCAACAGTGTCAAAGCAATGCGTTAGATGTTGCGAAACTTATGACGCATGCGGTTTTCAGGTCATTGGATGAATTTGATCGGACAGTAAATGTTTCCTTGACCGCGCAATTTCTTTTTTTTTTTTTTTTTTTTTTTTTTTTTGGGGCTTCTTTTCTATTAATTCATNTTTTTTTTTTTTTTTTTTTTTTTTTTTTCTTCTTTGAGGCTATATTGCTTTATGTCTGAATTGGTAACGAAATGATTCCCGCCGTTTTAACTTCATGAGTTAAAAACCAAATAAAGAGTTTTCAGAAAAAACGATTCAATCATAACCTTTACTCCCATTTTATCAAACAATTGTGTTTTCTATGGAAAAACGTAATTGTTGCTTAAGGTTGTTAGTTGTCCCCGAAGAACTTAATAATAATAAGGAACCGTACAATCATATTTTCTATAAGAAAATGTTTAAAATTACTTTTCAATTTTGCATAATTTACATTACATATTTGAATAATTATTTGATTTAATAATTTTCGTATAAAAAAATTTTATTAAAAAAAGAAAAGAAAATGCTGTAATTACTAATAAGTGATTATAGGGCAATCAAAAGCTCTAAAACATAGGTTCTTCTGTCTTTATTTATGCGTTTTAAAGGGATTTAGAACATGTATTGTAAATATAAAATCGTTTGCTCAAATAATTGGGTATAATATGAAAAAAGCACAACTACTTCCACTTACTAGGAATAACATTTACCTTTTAGTTTAATTAATAAACTGAGTTTTAAATATGTTTACTAAATTCGTAAACTTCGGTAAAACAACAATATAAACTATTTCCAAAGGAACTAGACTAATACAATTCCAACCTGGCGAGTAGGGACTTATAAACAAGACACTTCGTTTGATGCTTTTACTTGTTGCTAGAAATCAGGTTCGCAGAAAATGCTGTTTACTAGTTAAATTTAGTAGGAATAACACGATCTATGACGTAGGCTATAGTATACCCAATTCAATTTTCTCACAGAAGATATTTTTAAAAATTTATATAGAAAATTAGCTATATAATGATATAGATGATATTAGGATGTCTTGATAATTTTACTTTTCTATATAACCGTTAATAACATAAAACCGTTTGTTCAAAAGACTTATTTTTTTAAACTTATTAATCACTTTTTTTAAAATTTCAATTTTTCAAACGTATTAAACATTTTTTTTTAAATTTAAGTTTAAGACATACCAAGACTTTTCTAAATGATAAATATTTTTTCTAAGATACGTAAATGTTCAATATATTTCAAAAATATATATAGTTTACTGTTAAATGAATTAATGTCAAAGGTAATCTTAAACAACTCCATATTATTATTTGGGAGTTTCTTTTTGTCTAATTTTTTTATTTTATCGTCTGTGTTGTTTATCGTTAACTTTTCCATCAGATTCTACAGCTTCTGAAATTATCAATTCTTGTTAGTTATCATCGACCCTACAGACTAGGACGATCTCACAAGTATAACTCATTGAAAAATAGACAGTCTCTGCTGTCAAGATCAGTGGAGAAGGAACCCGAAGGCACTGATTCGATTGAGGGCTTTTTATCGAAAGAATTAAATGGAATTCGTAAGCCACGCAAGTCGAAATCTAGTTCGTCTAAAAAAATTCGAACGAAAACACGTTGCTTAAAATGTAAAACAAAGTAAGTATTTTCAGTAAAATAATTGAAAATTAATTACTTTTATTTAAAAAATACTCAATTTGTTGGTTTGCATTAAAAATTAAGTACTGGAAATCATAAGATACGATGGCACAGTGGTTAAGGCACTCGGCTGTTTTGTTTAGGACAGTGGTTCGATTCCCGATGGCGGCTTGAAACCTTCATATCGATGAGCAGTAGTTTATTTGGAAAATAAAGGTGTCCGGAATTGTGAGGTCCTAGCCTTATGACCCCCTTGGTCAACAAGTAGTTGTTCTGAGAATGCTCTTATTTTACTTTTTTATTGTAAGTTATGGCTTCTTAGTGTGGCATAATCTAAAGTGAAGTATATTAAGAGGAGAACGGTATGATAAATGACCTGTACAATTTTTATTTATGCCAATTCTGCTTAATGTTTTAGATATATATAAATATGTTCATCTTGGAATAAATAAAAATAAATAAGTGTTTGATGAAAACAAGTTTCTCTCAATAAACAAACAAGTTAAAGTATCATACTCAGGTATTGGAAAATTTTCATTTTAAGATCAGCATTAAAAAATTAATTATACAAATATAAATAACAAAACATTGTATCCTAACCTCTTCACAAGGAAAATTAAACAAATTCATCGTGCTCCATATTTAGATCGTCTACTATACTTAACGTCAAGATGAAGCGAGCTTACCACATAATAAAATATGTATAATATATTAAAAATTTTTACTTGTTGTAAATATTTAAATATTATAAATTTTAACAAATAAATGAATCTTTTACCTTATGACTTTAAGTGGTTTTTCGAGTTATTTTTTCGACGTTTAAAATTTAAGACTTTTATAAATTCTAAAAATTAATTCTATTAATTAATTTCTGTTTTTTTGTTTAAAACAATAGAAAACTCCCATAAAATGTCTCGATTTTTCATAATTATGCAATTATTATGCATAAATTATTCATTGTTTGGCAGTCTTTTAGAAGAAATATGAGGAGAGGAAAATTAAAAAAAGAAATAATAATAACTAGATTATATTTCTTTTGAGTACTGTTCTCTTCCATATGCCAGTACAACTGGTAAGTTGGATAAAAACAACCTAGTAGTCGTATATGTAGTTTAAAACCCACAAAGTTATGAGTCAAACTGGGAGAATGCTTCTCCCCAATGTAGTATTTTCCTATCTAATAACATTACCCACTAATCCCACAAATTACCCACTATCTAATACAGATACCCACACATGTGAACCTATGACATCAGCTCCAGCTGATTGTTTATAAGCAAAGTGGCGTGTCAAAGTTGAGCTAAGTTTCACCACATAAGTTTGTTAGTTAACGTGAAGTTAATTTAATAGAGCACCGTATCGCAAATCGAATTCGTTGAAATATAATTCACTCTCGTCTTTATCTTTTACTTAACTTGGATTTATTATTTTTTATGTATTTTACTGTAACCGTGATATATTTTTGTTTTGTGTACCTGGCAAACTTTGATGGATAACTACTAATTAGTTCGTTTATGTTCAACGTGGCTTCATGCCTGTATTTGTGTTAAGTAAAGGCCTGGTTTCTTAGGACAGGACGCCGTCAGCTGGAAATCAGCGCTAACCTTTGATTGGTCCATTTGTGAGCTTGATAGTATACGTCATCGAACGCTCATCTTGAACTACAATTGCCGTCCAACTCAACTGCAGTTGGATTACAACGTGACGTTAACCACAGAAGCAATGGCGGACAACATCCAACAGCACATTGAAATCAGCCAAGATTTTGATTTTGATATTAAACATAGCTTCTTCATTAAACATAGCACTCTTCATTTAGCTCAGCTATAATGTGTTTTTTGTTGGACAAAGTCATTATTTGTACTCTAAAACAGTGGTCGACAATAACAAAATCAAAACAAATTCAAAATAAATATTTGTTTACGTTATTAACGCATGCGCAATGAGAGATAATGTCTGCGTTGGACCGATTGCTCAGGCTGAGCTAACAAAAAAGTATTTTTTTGGCGTCCGCTCTACATCAACTTTCCGCTGACGCCCAGATAAGGCGCTAGTTCTAATAAACCAGGCCTTGAGCTAACAAACCAGTATTTTGTTGGCGTCAGCGGGACGTTGACGTCACGCCGACGCCCAGATAAGGCGCTTGTCCTAAGAAACCAGACCTTAAGAAATATATAGTGAAAGGATTGAAATCCTTGTGAAAGAATCTTTGTGTTAGAACATAGAATATGTCACTAAAGTAAATTGATACTTGATGGGCTTGGCTTACTCGAAATAGAATGAAAAAAAACAGTTGCTAACGTAAACAAAGGTCACGTTTCAACAACCAATCAGGATCGAGATGCCCACACTACGTCACTTGCAGGCATTTCAATTTGTTTTTGAGGAAATAAATAGTGGAAAAAATTTAAATTGATAATGCATCGAAAAGCATTTATGTTGTAACTATATGTATAAACGTATATAACATATAGTAACTATTTGTTTTCCAGTAACAAATTATGCAGTAACACTTATTCGTATTTGTGCTTCTATTGGTTTGAAAGGATTAAATATATGCAATGTTAGCATTTCAAATAAGTATTATATTCCACATATAAAAAAAAAATTGGAATTAGAAAAAAAATGTGAAGTTAAAATATTTAAATCAAAGCATCGATTACTCTAAGTACAAGAAAATAAAATGTTTTGTACTTCTTTAATACTCATCATCGTTACAAAAAAAAATCTAACCACATTTTACTTAAAAATAAAACAGATAATCAAACGATTAAAAAGAACTTCATAAACTTGAACTTCAATCATTAAAAAATATAGTTTTCGTGAGCTTTATTGTAAGTTTCATTATGAATTTTTTTTAAAGTTTTTGGCAGCTATAGAAAATGTCAAATAACGAGTAGAAAAATTCAATCAATTGAAAAGAATTATTTGAGAAGTTGTCATGCTACATTAATTTGTTACTAGTTTATGATTTTACTACTGAAATGATTTTAAGTGATAAAAAATTTTGCAGACGATTATAACATTTTTCATTTTATCATGTAATTATTTTTTAATTTTCGTTCTCGTCTGCTTTAGCTATCCTGTAAAGTTGAATTTCTCAGGCATGTAATAAGGCTATATGATAATAACTAAATGTATGTCTAAAAAATAAAGAATGAATTTTTATAGTATAGAAGAATTTTACCTTCGCCCAGCTTTCTCTTGTGATGAATGGAATTTAGACAGTGGAACATGTTTTTTGGATCGAAATGTTGGAGCAACAATTACACTTGCTTTGAAATTTGGAACTGATAAAAACCATTTGCCTAGTGTTGTTTGGAAACAAGAATTCCATTTATTATCCGGAGAAAAAACCAAGGAGTTTATGATTAATCCAGGTAAAAAAGACCTTTAAAGATTACCATAAGTATAAGATCAGATACTTCTTAAACGATCATTAAAAAACAAATAATATACAGATATCTTTCGTGGTTAACATCATAAAATCAATTTAAGTTATAACGGTTATATTATATGGATAAACTATTTATTTATTACTTAATTTAACCATTATTCTTTATTTTATCATTCTTTTTTAATATTATTGCCTGTTATTATCCCTTAATTATATACAAAATTAAATGCTTAAAAATTGAAATGTTATTTCTTTGTTTTTAAATTGCAGCATGTTAATTACATTAGTTTCAATTTCGTTAACAATTAGGAAATTGTTAATTAAAGTTGTATTGAATTATAATAAATATTAATAGTATGTTTTAATAATATTAATTATTATGTAAATTTAACAAATATGATATTTAATAAATTACGTAAAATTGTGTTCTGTAATGTAAACGTATGCAATCGAATTAACGGATTCCAAAACAAAAAAAAATTCAAAATTCTGTAGCAATTTTAGATGGGGGCGGGGGTTTGTACTACAAATTTAATTATGTACCATAGATTTAATTAATTTTTTGTGCAATAAATTTAATTATGGTGCCGTATTTTCAAGCTATAATTGAAGAGCTGTTACTACGTATTAAGTAAAAACATGTTAAATAGAATTTTGGAGGGAATAAAAAAAACTCAAATTTCTGTGTTTAAAATCATGTAAAATCAGTTGTAATTATAAAACTTAAATAAATTCTTCTATTGAAGCGGTTTTTAATGAAAAAGAAGAGCTTTGTAATCAGCTTTCTGATGTTTCTACATAAATGTAAATATGATTTTCTCGATTACATTAAACCTCCTTTTAACATACATATTGTTCCAATAAGCTCTTCGATCATTAAGTTAATGAACAATTTTTTTTATAAATATGTATGGTGAGCAAAATAAAAGACAGAATACTTTAATAACTTTTTATCTAATTATTGGGTTTTCATGTATTAAGATGTAATCTTAATGATTTGAGGGAGTAACATTTAATATATTGAAATATTTGGGCAGGAGATGTTTCAAGTTACGAAATCACAACGCAAAACGCACTTTCTTGGAATAAACATCCTTTTTCAACGGAACTGGACTCTATACCTTCAAAACATGGGAGGGAGTTGGAAAATATGTTTCCAATAATTTGAGCAGGAAACTGGTCAAAAGTTAGGGCCTCTTAACGTTAATTCACTTTTTGCTTATTTCTAATATATTGTATTAAATTTCTACTATATATAATGCACTATTATGAAATTTATTTATCTGAAAATAATTGTACGAGAAAAGTTTATTTTTATAATTATTTCAAAAAAATGAATTTAATGATACTTTTTAGTTTGTTATACTTAACATTAAGAACCCAAAATTTTGACCGCGTTACAGTCTTAACCTTTCGAAATAGAATTTTTATTAAACATATTTTTTATATTTTTTTCAATATGTTGTATTAATTTAGATTAAAATAATTGAAAAATATTACATTTAGCATTTTAATAATTAATGAGTATGAAACACAGCACGAAACAGGGTGTTTTTTTTTCTTTCCAGCGAAGTCAAATCTTCCTAAGACAACTCACTCTCAAGCAATAATTTTTCATATTTGCACTTATTTAGATCTAAGAGAAACATATTTTGTATTAATTTAGATTAAAATAATTGAAAAATATTACATTTAGAATTTTAATAATTTATGGTTATGAAATACAGCATAAAACACCGGTGTTTATTTTTCTGCGTTATAAGTAAAATCCTCCTAACACAACTCCCTTTCAAACAATAATTTTTCAAAACAATTTACACTTATTTGCACTTATTTAGATCTAAGAGAAACAGTTATTCATCATTAGAATTTCTTTAATTTACAAAATCTATTATTGATAAATTTTAGAATATGAATGAAAAAAAATATTTTCAAACTATTATTTATTTCTTTATTTTTCGGATTTTATATTTTATACAAATATAATTCCGATAATCAAACAGATTTTTTAGTACAATTAGACTTTCAACTATTAGACTGTTTCTCATAATTAAAATACACCAAAGTATATTTTTGCTTGTAATTAGAACACCAGAAAAAAATATATATAAGGGACACAGGTGTCTCATCTGCGTCAAAGAGGGCCATATTTTGGGCCATATTTTCCAGATTGCGATTACTCATTCTAAATATTTTGATGGTGAAGAATCAAAATTCGTCAAAAAATAGTATGCTTTTTCAGAAAAATGCGTTTATGCGTGTTATTTCGCAAATTTGAAATATTAATTACGATTTGTAAGTTAAGCTCCTCGAGCCATTACAAATGCATCTTAGTAAGTGGCATTCTGATGTTTTTAAAATGTTCCGTTTTTCATTTTGGTTAAACTACTTCATTCATTGTTATTTTTAAATTTCAGAAATGTTTTACAATTCCAGTAAGAGTCTTATTTTATTTTGTTGAAATACTTTTAGGAACTCATAAATAAGGTCGAAGTACGCGTTATGTTCACGAACATGTTACCCTTCGTGGAAAACACAACTACAGTCGGAGACGAATCGGTCACGAACCTACAGCTAAAACAAATGTCAGATATACATTTTTTTCAACATTATTCTCAATAAAAGTATCTAATTCTGTTTCACTTTAAAGGTGAAGCAAAATTTCAATAAAATAAAAATCACAGAGAAAAAAATTTCTTGTAAAATTATCGTATTGTATGTGATAACATTTCTGTTTTTAAAAGAAAATTGAAAAAATTCTGAACCAAAATATGGGGTATTTAAACCATTCATTTAGTAATTTTTCCGTTCAAATGGTAACGTTTTACTAGAAATTTCGGCTTTCAAAATTATAATTCTGATTACCACGCATTTAGTAAAAACTGAAGAGATTTAACAGAATAAATGGTTTTTATGCCATGTTTTAAGCTATAATTATAAAATAACCAAATTTTGTCACATTTACCAAATGTTATCACAGATTATAAAACCATACTTTATTGTTAATTTTACTAAAGTGTTTAAGAAAGCGCTTAGTTAAAAATTGCCGAGCTTTTTAGTGGACCCATAGGGCAAGAAACATGGACACGATAAATTTTTCAGTATTCTGATAGTTTTGACCATACTTTTTTCAATTCCTACAATTAGTTCATACTCTCCCTATATCTTGCTCAAATTTTCAATCGTTAATAAGATACTTTTCATACGACACAAGTTCGAAGACATTTTTTGAACTTGTAGTTCATGACACTTGATGTTAATACAGTTTTTTGAAATATTAATTCATTAATTAAATTGTTACATATAAAATAAAAAATATTCAGTTGAAAGCTCAATTACCAAAAAAGTTTTATTGTATTAACACAGATTTGGTTTCACAGATGTAATTCCTAATTCTAAAAGAGCGAAAATTTCTAATTATTTTACTCGGTAACTATAGCAACTTCCTCTACAATTGCAGTTACAATCTTTTTTCTTATATTTTTATTTAATATCTGGTTACTATAAAAACTAGTTTAATGTCTTTTTATAAATTGGTGAATTAATGAATTGGGGACTTAGTGAGTTTCGATGAATTTTGATGAATTCCTAATAATTTTTCACAATTTTATATTCATATTTTAACTACATATTACGCTAGCTTAAGTTTTATACAAAACTTAAAATAAAAATATCTGTAATTTATTTATTCTTCAATAATTGTAAAACGGTTATATTTTACTTTATCTCCTATTTTAATTGCATGTTACGCTAGATTCAGTTTTACACAAAACTTCTAATAAAAGTTATGATAACTTATTTACTTTTTAATAACTGTTAAACGGTCAATTAATATAGATACCGTTTTAAATGCTCTTATCATTAAATATTACGTAATAAGATATTTTTTCAAGACTACTTCATAATAAAAAACACAGCTTAAAGCTTGAAACCTTTAATTTTGAATAATGATCAAAATCAAAATGATAATCAAAATGAAGGTGATAAATATCGCAGGTAAATAAATATCTTAAAATTAAGAATTAAAAAATATTTGTACCTTTTGGTTAGCACGTAAAAATTCTTATTTTATTCTCTAGACACTTCACCCTGGAATATAGTCATCGGAAACAAAGGTTATGAATTTCGAATAAGCCCTATAACAGAACAAGACGTCGATTTTAATTACTTCTCAGTCAATCTAGCTCAGTCTGAAAAAGTATTCCACCCCAAAGTGAAAAAGTTAAATTTTCGAATACGAATAGTACCTATTAGTAAGTATAACTTTAAATAGTTAAAACAATTATAAAAATAAAAGTCAATTTTAAGAAAGTAATAAGTTGTTCAGATAATTAAAATAAGTAGTTAGCTAATACCAAACTGTTATCAATTGAGAATAAGCTAATAAAATGGTTAGAACTGCTTTAAAATTAAATAAAAAAGCACAATTTAAAATCAATCACTCTAATGTAAAAAAAAAATGATTTATATGGTATATTTCAACATGATTCAATGGTATATTTCAACAGGCCTGCCCCTCCCCCCTAAAAAATAAAATTAAAACCTCTTGTTTTTCGGCATTAAGAAATAAGATATATCTGTATTAATATTTTTTATGAGAAAAATGATAACTGAGAATTAACGTTCTGTACGATTTTCAAATTACTTAAACTTTATTATAACAGAATAAATTGTTACTAAAAATTTTTTTGATACTCATATATTGTAAGAATAGAATAGTTTCTTACTCAGACATATCAATTTGTTACAGATCAATTATTATATATTGATCTATAATAATTATATTATTATAGATCAATTTGTTACCCAAACATTATCATATAAAAATATTATGTTACTCAAGCGTTGCTATAATAGAGTAACTTGTTCTCAAGCATTTGCTCTAATAAAATGATTTAATACCATTTTGTTTTCAAATTGAAAATTAAAGTAATTAATTTCTAATATGTTATTTTTAATTCTTGAAATTGTCTGTAGCCTTTTGTTTGTCTTAATAAAAACTATAAAATTTTTTATATAAACAAAAATAAAAATCTTTATAACTAGTTAGCACACAGATACAGAAAATTCAAAGAACATAAAAATAGATGTTCTAAAGCCCTGTCACGACCGGTTTTGTCTAAAGGAAACCAATAACTTCGAGTTACGAAAAAAATATTTTTTTCTTCTTGTTATCACGGGGAAAAACCACTACTTCCAGATATGAAGTTGCAACAGTTAACAAGAAGCACGATATTGTGGTAGCACGAATTTACTAATAAGAATTTCATTTCAGCTGCTGCGAGATGAGATTTCTAAATTTTTAATTATTTTTCCTGTAAAATAAAAGTAATTGGTTTTAAAATGAGAAAGTTCTTCATCAATATGTAATTCCCAAATCCTTAGCTGCTTGTTTTTCAAATCTCATTGAACATCTGGTTTAGTAATATCAAAGCATTGATACATTTTACACAGTTTAGAAACTATTGCTGTTAAAATTGATTTGTAAAAGAAGAAGTGTCTCAATGGATTTTATTTCTTTTTTAATAAAATCTTTAAACTACAGAAAAAGACACAGTATTTAAACAAATTATTCTAAATATGCTTATTCATAAAAATTTTCTAAAATCCACAAGGCAACGTCCTGAAAATATAGATCATTTTAATATTTTTAAATATATTGCATAAATAATATGCAAACTAAAATAAAATTATTGCGGTTGGTGTGTCAGTCTTACGCGCAGTGCACTAAGTTTAAAATCATTTCTGTCACTTAAATCCAAAATGATAATAGTTATTATTCGAATCACTTTAAATTGCATGCTGCATCTTTTATAGTATATTCTAATTCTATAATAAATAATAAATAAATTTAAATAATAAATATATAAAAATAAAAAAAAAGTTACATGGAGTTTATTTAGCCAATCTTGGTAAAATACAAGTCAGTCATGAAATTTCTTTAAATCTAAAGGAATACTAAAAACATTTTTTGTTTCAATTCTCTATCCTTTTGGAATGTTTTTTTTAATTGGAAAATTTGAATTTTAAATTTATTTCCAAATGATTCAATATTTCTTTGAAAAAAATTGACTTTAAACACATCCAAAAAATCCTTGGCTACAAATTAAAAAAAGAGCCTTTTTCAAACTGCTCCCCATTAGCAAAAACGTTCATTGCAATTAGTTCCACTCATTTAACACTTTTCTCCGAAAAACTACATTAAAGTAAATTTTTAAAGCAAATTTTTAGTGTAAATAAATGCAAGTACTTTGATGAAGTTCTCTAAATCTAAAAGAATACTAAATTAATTTTCAAAAAAATTTTTTGTTTCAATTCTCTGCCCTTTTAGAAAGTATTTTTAAATTGGAAATTTAGAATTTTAAATTTATTTCCAAATGATTTACTATTTCTTCGAAAAAATTGACTTTATACGCAAATGAAAAATCATAGGCTAAAAATTAAGAAAAAAAAGCTTTTTTTTTAAACTGCGCCCCATTAACAAAAAAGTTCATTCTATCAGTTTTACTGTTTCATGAGTTTTTCTGAAAAACTATTTTAAATTTTTCAGACAAATTTTAAAAGTAAATAAAAAAAAAGAAAAACTGGTGATTGAATACTTTAAAAAATCTCTTGTTAAAATGTGCTTCTTAACAAAGGGAATTAAAATTTACTTTTTAAAACTAAATTTAGCATTATGACTGTAAAAGTTTTATATGAAATAAAATACAATTTAAAAAATAGAATATAGGCCAGTTTCTAAAGGGAAAAAACTTCAACATTACTATCTAGACAAGTGCGGCATTGTCTCATACGCATTTTTTTACACTGTGTAGGACTCATAGTTTGGAAGTTAAGAAGGCTTTACTGTGTATGAAGTATAAAAAGTACAATTTTAATTCCTGTTTATAAGTCAAAAACTGTTATTTTAACATATTAAAAATGAATTCTTTTGCATTTTTTGTGCTAAATACAATGAAACGAAATCAAAAGTTAATTGAATAGCTCAAAGGGTACTAAAATTTTTATGTATAAAGCATACAGTTTTGTATTTATATTCATGCAAATAAAACCAATATATGAAAATAACCAATGTATTTATATTTATGTCAAAATAATAATTTTGTACTTTTTATAATTCAAACTTAATAAATCTTTTATAAAATTTGAACTATTATTATCAACTTTAATAAACGTCTAAAAAGCATAGAAAATAAAACCGCAAAGAACTACGTTTGCAATTAGCCTCTCAAAATATTTGAAAACTAATTTCAAAATTGTAGCTAAAATAACAATAATTAATTAAATTTTTCTATTTAATTTCGCTAGGCACGCTTAAATTACCCATTATAAATAAGAGTTCAATTATGTTCAAAGGATAAAAATAAATTAACTTCCTTGTTTTTATTTCGATACTGTTTTATCAAGGTATTATTGACAATTTTAACTGTACTAGTTTTATAAACAAATTATGGTTATTAGAAAATGAAACAAACCTGAAACTATGTTGCAATAACTGGACACCTGGAAGTAAAAGTTTGAGGAAAAAATTACAAAAGATTTCAATTCAACTAAAATATAACAGTATAGATATAAATAGATATTTTTGCAGAAACGGGGGAAGTCAAAAAAAATTTTTTATTGTCAATGAAAAAAATAATTAATTAAATAGAATATAAGCAATAAGAAAAAAATAATTCACAAATAATAAAATAATTCATAAATGTTAATAAAATCGGTAACAAATTGATTGAAAAGAAATAAGCGGAGTTCTAATTGATTTGTGTTCTATTTACACCACGTGGGTGCATTCAATTACTGAGAATTAAATCCCACGGCTCTCTGCCGTAAGGGGTGGTTCAAGGTTCTTTTCATAACATTTTTTTAAATTACATGCAGAAGAGAATAAATAATAATTGGAAAATAAGTTTTTTTAAATTGAAAAAAAAAACCTATTTCGACACCGAAAAAATTTCAGTTAATTTTATTTTTTCTTTCATTATTAAGAGGTTATTCATGCAATCGCCATCATTTTAGGGATAAGGAATTATAGCGTAGGTATCAGTAACAATCAATTTAAACATAATATTATTTAATAATAAATAATAATTTATATTTATTGAGTCATTAAACAAAACGTTTAGTACATGGAATTTAATTACTTTTAACAATAAGTCTTTGTTTGCTGAATTAATTTTGATAAATGCAATTTAGTTCAAAATGGTTACTGATTTACAAATCCGCTGCTATAAAAGTTCCTTTGCAATATTATCTAATTGCTAACTCTAACAAATTAGTTAATGTCAAACTGCATAGTTTATTTAAAAACGTATTTAGTTTTTTAATGCGTTTCTAAATATGAAAAATTTGAGGTAAACTCTGCAAAGTGTCTTCATTTTATGGAAAAAGGACATCTTGTATTTATTTATTTATTTATTTGCATTTTTTTGAAAATTATTAATTTCTGAAATTTTTATGTACTGAAATTGCTAATGTGTACTAAAACGATTTCCTGAAATTTGAACCTTGTAAGTGAACAGTGATCTACGCAAAGAGTTAATAAATCATCATAGCCATGAGATTTATTAACTCATAAGAGTTAATAAACCACCATAAGAGTTAATAAACCACCATAACAAGTTATCATAGTACACAAGAATAAGATACCTTCAAAATTACTGAATTTGAGAAGACATTTTCACTCTTCAAATATGCTAGTTCTGGAAAAATAGCCCCATGTTTATATGCTTGTCATTTTTATTTACTGATCTGTTTAGTTATTTATTTGTTTACTTTGTCCTGCGTCGAACAGCTGAGCTGTCCAAATTAATATTCAAAATTACAACAGTGCAGTTCTGAATGCAGTGCAGATTATAAGGAAACACTAACTCCAAAAAGGGAAACAAACTATCCCCCACTTTTTCTATAAGCTTGGTCAGAAATGAACCTTTACAGAACTTAGTTTAGCAAATACTCGTATAAGCATTTGAGTACAGTATTTCACCAGAAATTGGAAATTATTATCTGCGTATTGATGTGAAAATTAAATATATTTGATAAGGAAAATCCGATATAATTCAGGGCTGATTTTGCTATTTTTTTTCCTTGATTTACAAATACTTGAAATAACATAAAATAATTAAGGATAAGGTTTTAAGGATAACCTTTAAAATAACACAGCCCCCACTTGTTTTAGTTTCATTAGGATTAAACATACAATATATGTTTCAAAGACTTAGGATTTCTATACCTGGGAGAGACAATCACTTTGAATATCGACAGCTTCATCAGTTTGCCAGCAGAATCAATCAAGTATAGATGGTATGTAGAAAAAAATGGTGAAAGAGGGACTTTACCAAGCAATATGAAGAAAAGTCTCTCCGGTCGAGTTCTAACAATCTCTGAACTCCGCAAGAATCAAGAAGGGATTGTTGCTTGTTCCATTTATTCCAATCTGAATGTATCCGTTGCAAAAAGAAGGTTTCTTATCAAGCATATTAGCAAAGGTAAATATACACTGTTGTGTAAAATTTTAAAAAAAATATTCAGATTTTATTATTTACAGATTTTAATGAAATTTGGCTTGAACAAAAGTTCAAAGGTTAATGCGGGTTAATACGGAGAAAAGGTAATAACCATTTAGTTATTGTAATGCACGATTCACTTGCATGATCGAAAGTAATTCTCATCGTTGTCTGAGGAAATAAACAGTGGTTACTGAATCGAACCTAAAAAAAAAGGTCTAACAGGAAAAATTGTCTTCTATTAGTCTTTTTTCCCCATGTCTTACAGGCCTTACAATGTGATTTTATAATTAAAATAAGGCAGTTTAGGTGTTTTTGTACAATCGAATTACATTTGCCCTCCCCAATGTGTCCCATACATTCTCTATAGAGCGGTGGTGGCTCAGGGAATCTACAAATTTCTTCCCAATGTGGAGACTCAAGTTCGAATCCCAGCGATGGCAGGTCGATGCGAATTCTGCACCTATCTCACACCGACTGCAGTGCTAACGTAAAATATCCTCAGTGGTAGACACATCAAGGGTTAGAGTTCCCTTGCGGTCAAGCTAACCGTGGGAGATTTTCGAACCTCTCTATGTAATGCAAATGCGGGTTAGTTCCATCAAAAAGTTCTCCACGAAGGCAAATTTCGTCCAATATTCGATCCAGAAGTTTAATCGTCTTCTGGATCGGGTTCAAAATTACAACGCTATGGTGTTGAACATTAGTAATCGTAAACTCAAAATTGGGTCATCTGTTCAACTACGGTAATAAAATAAAATGAAATAAAATAAAATAAAATAAAATAAAATGAAATGAAATGAAATGAAATGAAATGAAATGAAATAAAATAAAATAAAATAAAATAAAATAAAATAAAATAAAATAAAATAAAATACACATTCTAATGGGTTGAGGTCTGAACGTTTCGAGGGCTTGTGCAATCGGAGAACATCTTCAAACTCTAGAAAATCCTTGACATGATGAGGTCTATGTTGCCGTCAATAAAATTGAAACCAGTATCAACGGAATCCCTAGGAAAGCAACTATAGTCTGTACTTATGTCCGACACTCTTTGAAACGTATGGGGGACAGGATCATGCTGCTGTCTTACGCTATGCCTACGCAGGCCATCAAACTTTCGATTCCATGATGTTTAATTTCTCTGAAGTTGGAAGACAGTCAGCGTGCTCCAAGTTTTCTTCTTATAAAAATATAAATTATGAAAACCAATACTGTGCACCAGATTTGATTGAGGAATGCTTTTCAATGATTTGATAACGAAATATTTATTCCTATTTTCACAGGTGTGTATATATATATATATTCATTTNTATATATATATATGTACCTATGAATGCTTAGTTTTCCTACACTTCAATATTAGAGGGGAGCAGCTTTAGAACTATCTTTTCCAGTCACCACTATTCTAGACAGAAAAAAAGTTAACAAACGTGTTTCAACTGACATTGCATACATATAATTCCATTTCTAAAGAATTGAGAAGCAAGATAAGACGTGATATTCATCTCCATCACACTAAAAAAAAATTTTATAAGAGATTTTAAAAAAATTCTTTATTATTCTGTATAAATGTTTCTTGAAAGAACTATAATTAATGATTTTTTTTAGATACTCTTCGTCCATTGATTATATATGATTCTAAAAAAGTTCATACATTTAATGATGTTGGTATGCAAATTTAAAAAGTAGTTTGTACTGATTAGGTTGACATAGAAATCGGAGATTTCTAATTAACTTTTGAATGAACAAATCAATTCGAGCAAGCAAACAAATCAACCTCACATAAGTTTCCCAAAGTTGCAAATATTGCGTTTCACAAATATTGTAAATATGTGCGTTTTAATGTGTAATTAACTAAGCTAAGAAAGTAGTATTTATGTGAATGATCTAGAACCAGCACATTTATAGCGTGATAAGGGCTAATGCGTTTTCTGTTTATTTTGCATTATTCAATAACACACAATTTCGTCAATAATATGTCATGATTTATGTATATGACTGACTTAAATATTTTTTTTTTAAAAATTGCAGTTTTATTGAATGAGCCAGATGATTATTACCACAATCTCATTTAAAATATGCAACCAAAAAAAAAGATTTAAAGTATAAGAAAATTTAAGGAGTGTAATTTTAGAAGACAATATACAAAATTTGAATTGAAATCGGTTTCTGAGAAATGGAATTTTAACGAAATCGTATATTTAAAATTCGATTCCTTTGGAACTATCTGATTAATTTCGTTCCAATTTTGTAATTCGCCTTAGAAAATTACATTCTTTAAAAAGTTGTAAAAAATTACATAGTTTAAAATTCAAAAGTCTTTCGACTGCTGTTAAATAAAATAATAAAAAATAATAAGCAATTATTGAAAATAAATTTTTGCATTGAATCATCTTTGTATAAACGAATTTTATAACTGTATCCAAAATTTTATGATTAATTTTAGTGTATTTCCTGATTTTAATGAAACATTCCTTTAAACAGGACTTATTTTTACCACACAATTAATTTACAGATTACCAAATGCATTTTTATTGTTAAACATTCGATATTTTTTTCACAATAAGGCATTTAATAAGATAATAAACAATTGAATTTTTATAATTTTATTGATTATTTAATACAAGATTTTTTTCACAATAAAGCTTAAAATATGAAAATTGGAATCGAATATTTATAATTTAATTGATCAAGTTGTTTTTAAATTTATTTTATATACATTATTTCAATTAAGAAAAGGGCACAAAACACGAATTCTCACTTTATCATAATTTATTTCTCTTTCTCTTTTTCTATTTGTCCCTTTTTTCTATTTTTCAGTTTTCACTAATGCAGCGAATCATTTTGCAACACTTTGATCTTTTAATAGAAAAGCTAGAAGATTACAGTAGTTGGTGATTCTAAAATAAAGAAATGAATCAACGTAAATTTACTGACTCAATTACTAAGTTTTGTCAGATTTCAAAATTCAAACCATGAATATTCGTTACGAATAAACATATGAATAAACATTTCGTGCGATAATAGACGATTAGTCAGACTACTGGAAATGTAGTGATAAGTGCAACGAATTTGCATATCTATTTACGTTTCTTTGTATCTGCTGAAAAATTCCTGAGTTCATTATCTCGTAAAACAAAATTCAGAAATAAGATTATGAAAAAACAAATTTTTTTGTTGTTTTAAACTGGTGTTTGACGAGATGCATTACGTGATAGAATTTATTCAAAATATGTTTATTTTAGTCGACTTGTTTAGATTCAAAGAAATTGTATGATTAAAATAATATAAAAAAAGGTTGTTATTTTAGGAAAGAGTATCGTTTCTCTGATATTTTAAACTAAACTTATTAATCAATCTGTAAAATGTGCCTAATTATTGAATAAATTCAGTATTCATTAATTTATGTAGTTTAAGTACATTTTTGTATTCAATTAAAAAAGAGAAAAACATTAATAAAATAGAAAGTTTCATTCAGAAATTTATTCAAAAGAAGTAAATTAGTTGAGATAAATGTGATGATTAAAAATGAAAGCCATAGTCTCCGTTTTTTAACAAAATTTATTCGCAATAACAGAAAAATTAAATTTGTTTTTTTTTTCAAGCGAAAATTATTTGAAAAGAATAATTTTTTTTAAATGACGGCCAAAATCGTTCCCTATTTAAAACTAAACAAAGTATTACACATTTCAATATAAGATAGTATCCTCTTAAAATACCTTTTCCATTACTTTCTTTAATTTCTTATGACGTTTTACTCATTTTTGAATTTCTCCACGCATTATAAAATTGCATGGTTTATCATCTTCTTCAAAATAAAATAAAATAGAATAGAATAAAATAAAATGGAATAAAATAAATAATGATAGTTTTGATTTTTTTTTACAATGAAATTTTTTGCCATTCAAATTGTTTGAAATTGAATTCGGATTGTTGACTTTGTTATGTCAATACGGAGAATTTCTTCTCTTACGGATGTTTTTTGTAGTTCCATGGCCAAAAAAAGAAAAAAAAATGCACTGTTTGAGTTCCTTTAACTCAAAACAAATGTGTAATTTTAAACTTTTTACACTAATATCTAATCGTAAAGAATTATTTGGCTTTAGAACAAACAAAAATATAAAATGTTTAAAAAAATTATTGAACTTTTCTTTTTGAAAAAGTCTCCAATTTGGTGAGACTTTTCCACCAAGATGAAAACCATTAAAATTAATGAATAATTTTCAGATTTTGCTCAGATTTACGAATCAAAACAAAACAAAACAGTAGTAAACTTTTCAAATATTACAATTTTAAATTGAAAACGCCTTTCATTTTTGCAAAAATCTTAGGCTCTTCATCATAATAACAGTGTAGAAGCATAATTAGTATAGAAGATGCAGGCCAAACTTAACCTAACAGTTATAAATGCCGTTACAAACTCACACTATTTATTAAAATAGAATATTGTTCGCTAAAAAGAGTAATTTCAAATAACTTCAGAGCCTTTGAGGAACAGCCTTTAACGTCCTAAGTTTGTACATGGTTTGTCGACCAACAGTTGGCGAAAAAAATTGCTTTCATTGAACTAAATGGGGTCTTAATTGATTAGATTAGCCTAGATATTGAAATTTAAACGAGTTGTTCGTAGTATTTCTCTAGAATTATTTGCTAGTCACATTCTTTTGCCGGGTACTTCAAACAGTTATTTTAGGCAACTCAGACCGGGAACGGGAAGTAAATTTTGCAAACAGTAGATTTCTGTTACTTTTTCACAAAAATAAATAAATATTTTATTTAGCGTATGCTTTTTCTTCAAAGACAAAATTCTAAATAAGTTGAATTGTATGATAGATTTATTAAAACTGAGGTGCATAATCTTGAAAAGATACTGTAAATTAAGTTGTCAATCCCTTCTCTGACCTAAACAAGAAACTAGATAGAAATTACATGGCTTAATGTTACATATGGCTTATTAATTGAAATAAAAAATAAATCTA